AACAATATTAAACGAAAAATAAAAATACGAGGAGTTTTTTCATCTCAAATGTTCTCGTGTATATTTCTTTTTAGACAAATGGTACAAGTTCTCCTCATTTAAATGAATTCCACGTAAAAGCAGCGTTTTTTAATGTTTATTCTAAAATTTAATTTGCTAAAAAAAGTAGGCAGCATAAAAAACAATTTTTATATGATGTTTTTATTCATTCAACAAAGGCATACTAATTCGAATCGAGACATTATTAGATAAGTGTTTCTGAATTCTTGTTGCTTTGCTACAAATTTATTGTAGGTTTGTATTCTAGTAATGCTTCTTACTTTTTTTTTCAGTTCTTTATATCTTTGTTACCAATATTAGGGCTGGTTTCAAAACGAGTTATTAGTCAAATCCCATGACTGCCACGAGTGGTGTCATATATCTCAAAAATTGAAGATAGAACCTAATCTCTTTTTCGGATGAGATCGTCTTCCATAAGAGACAGGAAACATTGCTCAATTTCAGAGTATGTGACGGTGCTGGCAGTCACAAATATTTTTTTAAAGTGATTTGAATCAATGAGAGCACTGGTTTGAGCAAATTGGTTGAAATTTGACTCACATACGTGAAATGCGACGAATTTCTTTTTAAAAATGCATTTTTATCACGGAGTGTGATTCAGATGTAATTGAATTCACTGATTTTTTTTCAGTTTAACATAGAATGAAAAGTCATATTTGTATATGATTTCAAATGGAATAAGTGTACTGCTCATAATACTTGAAATTATTTAGTATTACTAAAAGTTTTTATCTCTGCTAGCATATTTGTAGTATTTTTTTCTAATTACTGACATCTGAATTACTTAGGAATGTCATATTCATTGTAATAATAAATGAGCGAGGTTTCACTTAATGTTTGAAATGATAGAAACAAAATCAAACAATGTGTTTTGAAGTAATGTCAACCTCAAACATTCGTCTCTCATTCAATTGAACCAGACGCAATTTTTTTTTGGGTTCAAAAGGATTGAGAAAACTACTATTATTTAGATCTGCCTTTTATAAGAGTGTGGGTGTGAACAACTTGAAGTTCAACAGTCACACCCACACCCACACTCTTTATTCCTCAAATATAAATCCTTTCTTTTTCTGTTTCTATCATTTTTGTGCTTATTTTAAATTTTAATTTTTCATTCCCATATCGTTATCGAATTTAAATTATTCTATTCATATTCATCAGTTGTTTTTCACTATTTTATTTTACTAATTTCATTAACTTTAATTTTCGTTTTTGTGCTTATGTTTAATTTTAATGAAGAGCCCTGATAATTGTTTTAATTTTTAAATAAATAAACATGAAAATACGTCGGCAATATATATCTGCATTTATTTTATTTTATTCAAAGTTAATAGTCGCCAGATAATCGATTACTGAAAAGCAAGCGTTGAGATTAGCAGATTGATTTTATATTTGAAGAATATAAGTCGATCTGTTTGCGTTTGATTTTACAAGTGTAAGAAGTAATGAAACGAATTCAACAGTATAAAAATACGACGTCCTTGGGAGCCGTATCAGTGCAAACAAAATATATTCTCACCTTTCATGATCATCTCCATTTTCTTTATCTAATTAAAACCACTGACTCTCTTCGCCTCGTGCGCTATGCAATGTAACCGATAACCATTTCGTTATACGCCTCACCACCACGAACATAATTCTATAATCGATTTATTATATAAAACACTATTTTAATCTACTTCTTACATTTCATACTAAAGTGAATAGTGATTCTGTGCTCAACATGCATCTAACTCCATTAATATTTGTCATCATGGCGCTCTCCTCTTCTACCATTTCAGGTAAGAATGAATGTATGCACGAACTTCCGAGATGTTTTACAGTTGTTCTCTAACTGATATAGGCATCTTCAACAAGTTGAGCTGTTTGAGGCTTCACAGCGTGAAGAAAATAGCGTCAGCTGGTGGCCGTCGTGAGAGTTGTTTTTGTAGAAACATATTCCGTCCGGACTTCAGTTTTGGTTAGCGAGTAGAGACAAGTACATAAGAGTAAGTATTCGACTTCTGATGAAATTTCAAGATCTGACGATTTCGCGGAATCTTCCAATCATGTACCGCCTGACCAAGCCGATACGCTGGATCGATCGAGTTCTAGACGTGATCGTCACCATGAGAAGGATGACATGAATATCTATCGGTAAGAGAAATCAAGAGATAGTGCAAGTTCACGTAGCCGATAAGCTGTTACACAAAAAGGGAAGTGGAAATAAACGCCAGGGGAAAAAACTGCTTCCAAAAATAACGAGAATTAAAGCCGACTGCGATTAGTAAGATGGCCAAGATGGTTGAAATGAAAATTGATGAGTGTTGTGGACGTGTAAAAATGCTCGGATTTCTATTGATTTGCAGGTAGTGAGGACCAGTTGAATGCTATAACTGGGATATTGTGCTCGCCTGTCAAGTGTCCCGGTGGAAAACCCAAACAATGTGCCTATGGCTATCAGAAGAAAGACGGATGTGAAATATGCAGATGTGAAGATCCGTGCAAGCCTCTCGGCAAGGTATAGTATATATTTTCTATCAATATAAGTGTTTTATCATTATTCTAATAGGTTAGTTTGTGTAGCCCGAAACAACGCTGTTTCATTGACAAGAAGGATGATGGTACATTTGCAACTCGGTGCGATAATCCATCACAGGAAACAAAGTCAAATAAGAAAAACAAGAAGAACGACGGCAAAAGCAAACAACATGTGAAAAGTACGTTTATTATAGTGGCTAGTCTTAATTCTAACAAAAAAGAGCTTCATTGATCACCGGTTGATAGACTTATAACATCGTTGAGTTACATTCTACTGAGCTTATGTTTTTAGTTAAAGAACTGAGAAAGCATTTTGGTGTCGATGCAAGTTCATTGAATTGTAGCATTCGTTAGTCTTTCTTTTTTGTAAGAGGCGTAACAACCCAGATTTGCTATGTGCATATTAGTTCATTTCTCTTATTCTTTGAATACTACTATTCTAACACTGTTTAGGATGAAATAAGACGCAGTTTTTATGGTACATTTCGCATTAGAATTTCTTTTCGTTTTACGAAACAAAATGAAAAGAAACCAAAAAAGTGACACACACCCTAACTCGTGTGTAGAACCTATATAAAAGTTTTTAATCATTGTAATCCTTGTATCTCACAGAAGAGTTCTCGAGAAACTCCCGAAACGAAACAGTGTGAATGTAGGTGTAAGTATCTCTTTGCCTTCACACCCATACTCTATGATGCAAACGTAGGAATTCTACTGGATTCTCAGATTTGCTTTGTTTGTCTGATTTCTTTAATTTGCGTCAAAATAGCGACAGTGACAATGAGGGCGTTCATAGCGCAGTCAAAATTTGGTTTGGCACTGATCCATTCCCAAGCTCAACTCTTTTAATGGTTGAGCAGCCATGGGTAATTCAAAGATCAACTGGGCCATAGCTCTCTGCAGATCACAAACATTTGTATTAGCTAATATGTTGCAATAAAGTGTAGTGACTATGTCTTACTAACAGAAATGATCTGTCGAAGAGCAAAAATCTGTTTCTTGTCATTTTCTTATTTTGCATTTTATTCCACATACGAGCACATTGACTCGGATTTCTTGGGAATGGTGAGATCTTCGTGGTGCTCTGGATATTTTGATGTCGATTTCAGAAGTTTTCTAGGGTTGAAAATTTCTACCAATATATTTCGAATATCACCAGTTTGAAAGATTTCATCAGCTATCTTTAACAGGGTTTCCTAAGAGATTTTCTAGCTAATTGGACATTTCCCAAAATTTTTCAAAATTTCTAAATATACGTATGAAAATCCCTAAATAATAAAAATGATTTTTTTCCTATTAGCACGATCTCTTTATCCATTTTAACTATTTAATTAAGAACTACAAATTTGTAGTTTATGTTACAAATATCAGTCTGACTTTTTACTTTGATCGTTTCGCCTGTTCTTTTTAGGTTATAAAGTCAGAACACTTAACTCATAGAATATTTTTACAAATAGTTTGCATCTAGCTTAAGCTCATCAATCAATGTCAATTTAATTTGTACTCGATTCCAATTTATCCACTGATTAAATTATCCGAAGTACAGTAATCCAATGTATTTAAATGGAGACTATTTAGCGGTCAATGCTCAAATGAAAGGAAGCTGATGTTTTATCATCACACCATTTTTGAGTAATAACACTCTTATGCATGCCCGAATTATCTCATTGATACTTTGTATAGTCGAATAATATAGTAACAAGCTGCTAGGTGACAAATGAACATTAGAGCAAGACAATATGCGTACACATAAGAGTATCATTACTCAAAAATGGTGTGATGATAAAACATCAGCTTCCTTTCATGTGAACGTTGACCGCTAAATAGTCTCCATTTAAATACATTGGATTAATGTATTTTGGATCATTTTAGTCGGTGGATAAATTAGAATTGAGTACAATTTAAATCAACATTGACTGCTAACTTAAGCTAGATGTAAAAAAAAGTGTGAGTGTGTAAGGATGTCGTCTATTCATTAGGATAAAATATTATATCTCACAAACCTGTGTTTCCTTTCAGCACCGCCGCTACGTTCCGCCGACATTTCTCACAATGCCACTTGGACACAGAACGGAGTCACGGCAGCTGCTGGAAATGGAGATGGTGCAGGACTCAATCAACTTTCTCGACCACTCGGTTTATTTGTGGACGATGATCAAAGTGTGTATGTTGTTGACCACGGAAACCTGCGTATTATGAAATGGAAGCATAGTGGGACGACCGGTCAAGTGGTTGCCGGAGGAAATGGAGAAGGAAACCTGACCAGCCAGTTGAATTATCCAACAGATGTGATTGTCGACAAAAAGAGAGACAGTCTTATCATTTGCGACAGATCTAACAAGCGAGTGGTTCGATGGCCTCGTCAAGGTGGCACAAATGGAGAAACAATCATTTCGAACATCGGCTGCGAGGGCTTGACGATGGACGACAATGGATTTCTCTACATTTCTGACAACGAAAAGTCTGAGGTTAGACGATGGCGAGTGGGAGACACTAAAGGAGTAGTAGTGGCGGGTGGCAATGGAAAAGGTTATCGACTCGATCAACTCAATGGACCTTTCAACATCTTCGTCGATCGAGATCATACAGTTTACGTGGCGGACGAATGGAATTATCGTGTGGTGAAATGGGCCAAGGGAGCCAAAACAGGCATTGTCGTAGCTGGTGGTCGAGGACAAGGAAATTCTCCAGCACAATTAAATTGTCCTCAAGGAGTGGTTGTTGATCAGTTGGGTACTGTCTATGTGTCGGATTGGGGGAATCATCGAATCGTACGATGGCCCAAAGGAGCCAGCTATGGAAGTGTTCTTATGGGTGGAAAAGGTGAAGGAGAAAAACCAAACCAGCTTAATTATCCGTGGGGTTTGTCATTCGATCGACACGGCAATATCTATGTCGCTGAGCAATTCAACCATCGAGTACAGCGGTTCGATATCGATCGGGCTTAATTGCCATAGTCGTTGCAAGTCGATCTCTCAAAATTTAAAATGAAATAAATAAATCTATGTATATGACTATTTTTATGTGCGCTCGAGCACACAGAGGGGTGCATGGGTGTGGGTGTGAGTGGGTGTGGGTGTGGGTGTGAGCGCGGGAGGTAGGTGTGGACCATTATTTTGATCATGGTTTGATCTACATCACACAGTCGCACCCGCACCCGCCCCTACATATCCACACACCCACACCCGCACCCCGTCGACAAATAAAAATCTGCATTCA